TCATTTTCAATTACAAATAGTTATATTAACCGATTACTTGGTCGTTTAGATTATATGCATTCAATCACTTGCTTAAATTTATCAAACAATGCTTTTGGTACAGAATGGCAAGATCCTCTAGCGTTGGAAAATCTTAAAATGTTATCTATGTTAGATTTCTCCAATGTAAATATATCAAGTTTACCTACAATAAAAAGTCAAGCGTCAATGTTTTGGCTGGATGTTTCAAGTAATTAAATATTGAATTTATATGTTTACTAAAATCAAATCTGTTTAATAATAATAATTTTTTTTTTAATATTGTAGATAACATAAAGATTCATTGTTCAAGTCTTTTAGAGCTTATGGAAAGATCAAGAAATGCAAAGTACAAATTGTACTTTAAAAAATATAATGAAACATTTTGTATGTCATCACTATCATTTCATTGGTTTAACTCTACAGAAAAAGTTGCGTTAAATCAGGTAGAAATTATTAACAAGGTAATGTTATTTCTTAAACTATTATTTAATTTAAAACATTTTCAACAATGTTTATTATTTTTATGTTTACATTTGTAATCAATAGAAATAAAAAATTACTTTTTTATTTTCTATTAATAATTTAGCTATATGAAGATTGTCCATGGAATTGTAGTTGTAAATGGCATGGCATAGAAATGGTACAAGAAACAAAGACATTGCATACTGTAGAAGTAGATTGTTCAAATAGACAATTATCAAGTTTACCAGAAAACCTTCCAGAAAACACTGTGTTATTAAATGTCACCAATAATAATGTAAGGAAATATATTTATTTTTTTTAAATAAATTTTTAAAAACAAAAAATTGGTTATATTCTAAATTTAAATATTTAATTTTATATTTGAGTGTAATTATTTTATAGATAACTATATTTTTTTTTATAGATCACCAATATAGACTTATTGGTATTGGATCAAACTTACAAAACTTTGAGATTTTTTTATGCTGATGAAAATAAAATATCTAATCTTTTGTCATTAGAAGGTTCAAGTTTTATAGAAAACTATGCTGTTTTGAGTTTGAAACTAAATCAATTAAATACAGTAAGTAAATGTTCATTACAATAATTATTATTTATTAATAATTTACTGATTTTTGATTGTCAGTGATGGATTTATTAGTTTTACAATGTTATGTTTTTATTTTGTCTTATGCTACTTTTATGTTTAGAAGCAATAAAAATATTTTATTTTTTAATGTTGAGGAGTAGTTTATGGAAGCAAATTACATCCAGTATACTTTTATACTTTTTATTTTTTTTGTCAAAAATTTTTGAAGAGTTTTCTCAGTATTTCTTTTAGCAATCTAAATATATCTAAAAACACCTGCACAATTTTTTGGTGTAGACATTTTAAGTTAAAGATTTTAATCATATAAATAAATAAATTAAATAACAGTGTTTCTTATCTTATTGTAATTAAAAAAATATATAATTTAAGGTTTTAAGACTTCTTTATTGTTTATATTATTATTTTCTATATACAAAGACATTTTCAAATATTTAAACTATTTTTAAGTTATTTGCTATATTCTACTGTGCTTATACGACAGTATAAACTTATAAGATAACAGCATGATATTTAATGTAGTAATAGTAATATAATAATTATAGTCAAATATATATGTTATGTTTATGGCATAAACTAGTTCAAAATACCGTATTACTGAGAGTAATATAAATAAATTATAAAATATTCTTGGATGTAGGCTAGTATTGTTTTTATTAGTAATTGGTTTTTGTATGTAATAGTTATAATTGAATTAAAATTTAACAAATTTTACTATGATCTATTTAATGGCAGAATATACTTTAAACCTAATTTCATTGTTTTTTTTTTTTTGTTATCTAAGTATACATTATTATAGCATATACTTTTTATTTATTTTTTTAGTTGCCTATGTATATACTTCAAAATTCCTTTACTAGATTTGAGGGACATATTGTGAACTTGGGTGGAAATGAACTTCAATGTGACTGCAGTACTGCAAAATCATTAAAGGTTTGTTAAAATTTAAAAAAAAAGTGTTAAACTATAATTGGTTATGATGATTAATATTTAAATATTTTTTGTTTTTTAAACTAAAATTTAATATTTATTTTACATTTCATTATTAGTTTATTTTATCATTATTTAAAATATTTTATTACAATCATTTGTGTAGTTTTAAAAAATTTACGAGTACACATCTAAATTATTGATAGAAAATAATTTAGAAAACTTTGTTCCATTATCAACACTATTTTATTTATTTTTCAATGTATACAATATTATCTAATAAATAATGATTGATATTAAAATTTGTAATCCAAAACAACCAAAACTATATTAAAAACATAATTAAAATAAAAACTGAAACACTATAGAATTTAACACAAATATATAAATGAAACATTTTTATTTCTAACAAATTTTACTTAATTTGTAAATTATTATATTTTCTATAATTTGTATCTTGGGTCTTTAATTATTGTGTTTTTTTTTTTTATTTTACTTGAATTGTCTTAAGTGGTCAATCAACTTCCAACATAGTTTTTAGGAAAGGGGTAATGTTAATACGTTATGATCCATGTATCTATGTACCATGAGTTTTGTTTTGAGTACAGACATGAATAAAAAATTATAAGGTGGGTGATAATAATATTATATCAATTCTGCTGGCGGCAATTTATAATTTTTAAATTTAATAAGCAGCTAAATTTAATTTCCATCATATTTGTTGTATGGTTGTAAAGTTATTTAAATTGTATTCTTTATTAAAAATTAATATTTAGTTTATCTTATAAATAATAATTAACAGTATTTATTATTCAATTATAACAAAACTAATTTAATACATTTAAAAAACTAAATTTCTTTCTATAAATTCCTACTTAAAATTTTATTTATTTTTGACTTTCAGTGTTATTGAATAAGTACTGAGTAGTATAGGTACATCAATCATTATTTATTATTTATTAAATACTTTAAAATGTAAATATAATTATATTATCATTTATTATTTCATTTTTATTATGCATGTTGTGAAAGGATACCTTATTAATTTAAGTTTATGTAATTTCAGATATGGTTATTAACAAATCAAATTCATATTCCAGACTACAATGAAATTTTATGCAGTAATATGCAATATAAATTAAAAGTAAATCCAGTTTTCAAATTATAAATATCTTTAACGTTAAAATTAGTTATAATTATTTCATGTGAAAACTATTGTTTATTACTGGGTGTATAATTTATAAGCATGTCCAGATTTAGTTGATGGCTCGATGCATAGTAAAAATAGTAAAATATAAGTTTTTGTTTATCACAAAGAAAATTTTATGTGGTTTTATACTTTATGTATTAATAAATTAAAGTAAAAAAATCATAAATATATTTTAAATTAGTAAGGATTTTTTAAAATTGATTTGCTATAACAGTAGAGTATAAAAGTTGATTTTTACCAAAGATAATTAGAAGCTAGCAAATTTTTTTTTGAGAAAACAATCTAGAATACATACGATATTCATAATAATAATTTCATATAGAATCCATAGAAATTGATTTCTCAGATTGTTTTATTAGCCATGTATAGGTAGACATTTGGTTGAATGTTTTATGAGGCAAGATCAATTCAAGTAAAGCAATCTGCAGAATAAAATTTCTAATTAAGTATAAAGTTTAAGGGGTTATTGAAATATCTGTGTGGCTAAGCTCATTTGAACCTTTTTGTCCATGTAGCCATGGCAGAATACAGATTCAATAAATTGATAATTTTATTAAATAATTTATAGGTAATAGACTTGGATCAAAAATTAGTGTGCATTAAAAAAGCTGATTGGACACACTATATGTATTACGTGATTGCTGCAGAACTGTCAGTTCTTTTGCTGTTGATTGGAAAAGTATCATATGATTATTGGATATTCAAAACAGCTGGATATTTGCCATGGCCTGCGTCCAAAATGCCAAAGCTTCCTTGTGACTGGATATTCGAGTAATGGAGTATTGCTTCTCGTGCTTAAAAGAAATATTGTAATACACATTAGTAATCTTTAAGAAGACTGTTTTATTATGAGCTATTAATAACATATACAACCGCTATATATGCTAACAATAAGTTACCTTAGTGCCTAAATATTGTGCCTTAATATATTATTTATTATATAAGATTATTATATTTATATATTTTAATTACTGTTAGAGAAATTTTTTGAACAAAAAATATTTTAATTATTTTTATATCATTTACTAAGTTTTAATATGGTTGATCAAACAAAATGTTTAAGTAGACTTACCAAAGTTTTAAATGTTTTAAATTACTTAAAAAGTTCAGATCTTATTTTATATTTATGTACGGTGTACATAGTGGAATTAACGCTAAAGATATTAAATTGGCTGAAATCCTCTATTAATCATAACTTAAAAATCTCTAATAGGCTACCATGTGTTATTTATATTAATATGTTAAACATTTACATGTAATTTGATGTTTTTATTTACAGGCTGTGATTGCATTATTGGTTAATATTTTTTTGTTTGTTTTATATATTTTATTTTAATCATTTTTATCCGTAAAAGTCAAGTTGTAACTTAGTAGATACCTTTACAATATTATATTTTTATCATAGTTATTAATTAATTTAAGGTATTACCGATGTCTTATAGTTTTATGTTTAATGACATTTCGATACATGAAATAAAAATTAAAATATATGTTATGTCTTGAGTACTATTATACTGTTGTTAATTGTGTCATTAATAATTATTATTTTTATATGTTATGGCTTTTATCTGTTGTCCGACTTGCGTGTGTATCGGATTACTTAATAAGCAAGTAATGCAATTTAATAACGTAGAATAATTAAATGTGTAATAAATAATAATGTAAGTTATTTTGATAACCTAAATTTGTTCAGTGGTTTAAAACATGTACGGTATCTTAAGTAAACAAACGAGCACAATAATATGATGACTGATGAGTTAGGAACACACTTATTGTAGAACTCGACATGGGTACCTATTATTAATCCATATTATGATAAAATAGTGTATCTCACATCATGTTCAAGTATCTGATATTTCATCCGATTCGTCGGGAACCGGATTTACTGAAAGTGGTATTGGAATAGTTCGGAATTAAAATCGAGTAATATAAGTGTGTTTTAGATTATTTTTTAGTACTCATTTTTATTGTAATTTTAGCGTAATAATATTCAAATAATAATATTGTTGGTACCTAACGTTTTTAAGTTTTTTTTTTTTAATACTTCTATACGAACTATTCAATCTTATTCTATAAGTAGTTCATGCAATATTATTTTGAATGTCTATCTTTAAAATATTTTCTTACTATCGGTGATTTATTATTGTTAATAATAATATAAAATATTACATATATGAAAGAAAAAAAGATTAAGCTAGACGTCGGGTGGAAATCAGAGCAGCGTGTGTGGTAAGTATGCATGATATACCTACTGTTAAAAAGCGTGGTATTAATTTATAACTATTAAAAATCATTGGCAGTTTTTCGAAAAATACTTATTAAAATTAAAGGTATTTATCTAAAATTTAAATTAGTAATTTGAATAGTCATTTATAATAATAATAATTTTATTAAGCCACTTACTACCTAGTCTACAAATAATTATGGCAAGTGGATTTTCTTAAAATTAACTTTCACACCATTGTTATATTTTTCCTAACATCTGCAATAAATTATTTGGATTAATCTGATCATTTTTTTTTGTTAAATTGTCTTTTTATAGGTAGTTTAGGTGAATACCAGAATACAATAATACGGACACACGTAAAATTTTATCTAAATAATTTACATGAAATTTATTGTTTGAAAGTATGAAAGTGAGTAGGTTATTAGTAAGTGATCTTCGTAATTTTAGAGCATGTTACAATACCCAGTTACCCCACATGTATTGTTTTCGTTTTACAAACACTACTTAGTAAATTTTTGTTTATTAGAACCATTGCTTCTGATCTAATTTGTGTGTTCTTTGCTTTAACCTCAAAGTAAATTGATCTACCTATTATCAAAGTTGGTATCTATTTTTTATTTTTTAAGCTAGATATGAGCATCTTTAACTTGTAATATAGGTAGGTATATAATACTCATATCTTGTTTAAAAATTAAAAAATTTAAGAACGCCAACGTTTTAACATAAATAATATTCTTACCTTTAATTCAGGTAGGTATTTGATCAATTATTTACTCTATTATTAAAGTTAGGAACACACAACAATTAGTTCAAAATCAATGATTTTACTTACCCAACTTTGTTGTGATATTTGTTTGGAGTAAGACTGAGAGACAACACATGCGAGGATAGTGTCCTCTTATAAGCTCTCAAAGATGGGCTTATTTTATATATTGTGCAAAAATGTAAAACAGAATATTTTTATTTTAGGAAATAATTTAAACGTATTAAAACACATCACGACTAGCCTAGCTTAACCTAAAATATTGATATATATGTAGGTATATTATATTGTATATTATTATACTCACCCTGTCCATAGATATCTAAGTTTGTTGAATACTCCAAATGGCTTTGTATTTGCCAAAAATAGTATAGGCATGTTTTTTTATAAATAAATTATTCTAAAAAATGTTTTGTTCACGTTATTCAATGAGCTCCGATCTCAAATGGTTTAGATACTCGTATACGATCGGCAAGATCGGATGACGGAAGACTGAAATTGGATGGATGATAAAATGTCCTATTAGGTAACTCGGAACAGTAGAGAGGTTGGGTATCTACTATATAGATAGAGCAGGTCTCGTATGCGCAATCTAATCAAGTAGGTATTCAAATAGGTACCTATATGTACTTAATATGATACCTATGTGGAATCTTTTTTGGATAAGTTGTTTCATTAGTGGTAGATCAACCACATAGTGACTTCAATTCTTTTCATGTCGTTCAGCATAATAATTATCAAGTAATAGTGTAGGTATTATTAAATACTTTGGGACAAACCTGAAACCAAGATATAAATCTATAAACTTATGTATTTTTGTATTTATTTATGAGTATATGAGTATGTTAATTGGCCATTAGCTGGTATCCGTGTATCCACAATAACTAATATTATAAATATACTATTAATTTCAATTTTTGTCTATGTTTCTGATTTTTTGTATTAAAAAAGATATTAAATAATTATAAAAGGAATTATAATAAATAGCTTATAAGTATAGATAGTATTCGTATACCCTAGTTATTATCATAGACCTATTTTAACCATAAACTCATAACCACATTAGGGACTTATTTAGAGGAGGAAGTATGGTATATTTTTTAGAGATAAAAGTGTGGCAAAATTACCGCCTACAACTTAGTCATTTTTCAGTCAAGAAACATGACAAATATTTTATCTTACCGAAATTCCATGTAAAAATTAAAACTATTTAAAAGTATTATTCAGTTTTTATTATCATACTTAGTAAAATAATATTCATTTGGTGGCTCAAACAACATACAATTAACTACTATATGTAATCTATGATATGGTTAGTGTTAGTATGACCCTAACTCACCCAATTAAGCAACCAAGTTGCTTATTGGTAGTAAGAGTTCTTAACACAAGATACTGCTGCTGTATCGCTTGAAATCGAAATAAAATTATTTATTCAAATTTATGAAACTAATTTATTACAAATCAAAGTAGTATCCAACATTGTTATTTTATATGTATACACTGTCAGATTGATATATATCTTTTATTAGGTTTAGTTTTGAACTTTAGTTGATATAATATTAAAAAAAAAAAAAACAATAATACTAATAGTTTATGCTAAAATGATTGGCCAACTAAATTATATAATCTTATAGAAAATTATCCATAGAAATTATTTAGAAATGCACTTGTTATTTTTTAAGTTATAAATTTAGACATTTATTTCATGGCAAAGATATCTAAAGATTTGATATATATTAAATGGTAATTGTAACTTTTAGTAAACTTTTTGTAGTCAAATAACTGCTGGCGACTAATTTCACGAAGGAGGGAACAGAGTCGGCATTAAAGCTTTTCTTGTACCTACTCGTTATAAGTATACTTTAAGTAAAGATAAATATATTTATTTTAAAAGTATTTACGTACATGAAGATAGGGTAAAAAAGCATTTGAGTAAATATACATTTATATTTACCTTTAAACTGTTTTCATAACATTTTATTTTATCTTAAAAATTAACTCAGCCGAATTTTTTTAACATTTTTATGCTTAATATAAACTATATAGACTATTTTACACCGTATTATTTTGTGTAACTATACATTATTACTTTATTGTTGTCTGTACAAAATCATTTAATTTTTTTGAAAATTATATAATAGTCACTCAAAATGAACACCTATATTAATTATCATATATATTTTATAGCAGCATTACATTACACAGTGGTCTAGATATTCAATAATTTTTATAAAATTAAGCTATTTTAGTTGATTATAAAATAATATTTCTGGAATATTAGTGATACTTTAAACTTTATGTGGATTATATTTTCTGATTCAAATTTACGTATCCGTTTCTCAATTATATTTTTATGATTAAATATTTGAAACAATCGTAAATTTAAAATAGGCAAACTAAAAAGAAAACATATTTAATTTTAAATACAGTACTTTATAAAAAAGTATTAGAACATTTTGTCCGCGTATTTTTTTTTTAAATATTTAAAAGTATTTGAAAACTTTTACTAAAGTAGAAGCTATATAAGACTGTAGTCTCCACGGGTCTGATTAAGATTTTTTGATAGATAGTAGATATTTCTCGTAAAATGAGATACTTTACAATAGTTTTTTTTTAGTTCTGTGCCACTGTTGTATGCAGTTTAACTTATAAGTACCTACTCTTAAAAATGCATGAGTGTATAATCTGTACCTTGGTAATGAACTAGTGAATCATATTTAATAAGTATTGATCATTATGGCACAACAATAATTATTAGTAATTTCACACATTAAGTAACTATGGAGGCTTTAGTTAGTTTAGTTTATATTTTGTATTCAATTTATATTAAAATATATCGTTTATGTATCAGATAAATAAAATTTATCGTAAACGTTTTACATTTTTTTAACTTTTATAAGAATAAATTATTAAGGTTCTGATGTGAGTATTAGATTTTATTGGATTGATTGGTTTATTTTTATTTTACTAAAATAGATTTATGGAATTCGTTTATTGTATTAAAATGTTAACTTAAGATCTTAATTAATATAGATTTACATACTACAAAAAAAAATCAAATAGGACTAGTTATATATAAAGATTAAAGAATAATGTTACTCATTTCTGCAGCTCGTCTCTTCGAAAAATATTTGTTCGTTATGTTATTTAAAAATGATTCTGAGTGAAATTCAGTTAAAATACGGTCATTGACATTTCTTCAATAATTATTTATTCTCATGGTTATCGGACATTTTTTTAAACAGTTTTAAAAACTATCGAGAAAACCGTAAAATAATCTCTTAAAAATAGGTTGGTACTTATCTACCATAATTAGAAATTTAGAATTGATCAGCAAAGATATTGTATTATATTATATACACATAGCCGTTCTAAAAAATTTATTATGGTTAAAAATAGTAATTATAATTAAAAAATATATTCTTGCAGTGAATTCTATATGTTTCCTTATAAAAACTAAAATATTTTAATGATATCTGCAAATAAATAAACTAAATAAAAAACTATAAAATTTAACTTATGTCTTGTACAGTTAACTCATTAACTGTCACAATATAAAGTTATAATATAAATTTAACTAAATCGAATAAATACATAAAGGGTAAAATATAGTCATGTTACAGTATTTATGAGTATATTAGTATATATATATATTATCATGTCGAGGTTGATGAAAAACGTAATAAATAACTATCAAATTATTTAATTAAACTGGACAACTTGAAGTTTTTTGTTCGCTGCTTGAGTATTACTAGGCGAATAAGTAAATTTTGTTTTTTGTGTCTTAAGTCTTAACTGAGTGTTATCATATTTCATCATTAAAAAACTACTTAAAATATATTCTTACAAAATAAAATTTGGACATTTTTAATTTCAATAAATTACGTTTTAACGTATATTTTAATTTCATTAAAACTTTTACTATCACTTCATGATAGGCCTAGTGTTCTACTGAATTTTATATAATAATTAATAATAAATAATTCATTTAAGAATTTTTGATTGCCCAATATTAAATGTATACTATAAATTATTATAATAATACTTACCAAAATTAAAAGTATGAAGGACTTATGTGGTACATATATTTTATTTTAGATACATATATATTTATTATTAATATTGAACTAATTAAAACCCAAGTCTTTTATAACTTGGAATAATATTACTTAATTATACGTTATACCTGTTAAATTTGTTTTTGTTTTTGTTTGTAATTAGTAATTAAATTTTAAAACCATACCGAGTAACCCCACACCTATATATATATTTTACTATTTACTCTAAAATATTATTATATAATCATGTTTTTTAAGCAGTCAATTAAATATAGTTTTATACGAGTATTGTGTAATAGGGGTGTTACTGAGTAAAGATTGGACTTAGGCGTTAGTAATCGTTTCACAGTTGTTACAATATCTACGATGTGTATAATATTAAAATATATGTATATTATATTTTGTGCGACCGGATAGTTATCAAAACTCGTTTAACGAGGACTGTAAGCATTTTTTTTTCGAAAATCTTCTGAAGTCGATTTTATTTTATCTATAGGTACACACAATATTTGATTTTGTAGTTTGCATGGTTTAACGTAGTATCCATCAATAGGTACCTATCTAATCCGGCCGCGTTTTTATATTGAAACAACTGATATATATATATATATATATATATATATATATAATATATATATATATATAAATTGATTTTATGAGAAAAATACTTACTTCTCGATGTTATACATTTTGCACAGAGTGCCACGCGTGTCTCAACCGTAGCTGTCAATCGACATGATTGATCTAGATCTATACATCATTATATTAACACGCGTTATTCGACAACGGCGAACACCCTATACAGCGCTTGTGTAATGAGCTTAAAACAGTTTAATATATAGTTAATGTTACAATAATGATGACTATGATGACGATAATAATGATAATTTGCCGAGGTTGTTGTCTATTGTTATCTGGAGTACCTAACTTTACCGTCGCCATTTTACAAGAGCATTTGCCAAGTAAATAAAAAATACCTTTATCAACTGGTAAACAGTGGTAGTCGAGTGTTGTATGAATGTATGTATGTATTTATGTGTGCGTGTATGCATGTACGTGTACGTGTACGTGTACATGAATATATGTATTAAAGTACCTATGTGTGTGTATATTATAATAACAATATTATAAAAATAATAACGCGTGGCTTATTATTTGATTGCAAGATTGGTAAACGAGACTTAACGATGAACGATTAACGCGAACGTATTAAATTCGAATCCTCGTTAGTCATTATTATAATATCTATTTAAACATTATTTTAAACATATTATTGTAACACTACTAAATAAGAGTTATCATTTAATATATAACTTTATATAGGCACATATTATTACATACACATTACACTGACACTTGCGCGTTTGTGGGTTTCAATCCTGTACTCTTCTATATTGTTCCGTTCGCGAGCGCACGACGTACATATTTACGCGTTATTAATTTATTTCGGTTACAATGGTAAGTATATTTATATAATTTATGATTATTATTTTTCCCTACAGTTTATCACTCTTAGATTTCCAGAAAGTTCGTTTTGTAGGTAAATATTCCGTTTATACCTATATAGGAGCTTTTAAATATTTTTAATAATAATGATGTATATACAAGCGTATAATATATTTGATAATAATAATATTATTATATATTATGTACCTAACTACTTATAAATGGTCAGTGTACTGTAGTAAATATATTATTAAGCTAAATAGACGTAATAGACTATTGAGACTAAGGACTAGGTATAATTGTGCAGACATGTACGCGTACATAACTGTTTTAATTGATTTAAATGAATTATACTCAATAATGGAATCTGTAAAAATAACATTTTTATTTTATGAATCATTTTTTATACTGCTATATGCATGGCGAACGTACATAATAATGATTATATTATTAATTTCTATTACGATTATTCTAATAGTAATATAATATTATCAAATGTCTTAAAATATATATTGTTAAATGTATCTATACATATGATGATAATAATAATAATGATGCAATGACTATTGATACTGGTGTGAGACGACGTTTATTATAAAGAAAATTAAATGTTCCACTCTCTATAATAATATATTATATTATATTATCTGTTTATCTACAGACTACAGTGCAAATATTTACTGACGTTTGCGGTTCTATATTTTCATAGATTCTGAGTGAAGCAAAGAATGTTAGTTAGTGATGTTTTTTTTTTTTTATTCCTTGATATAGATTCCTATTGTATCTTTTCGTGAACACTTTTTTTGTATAGAAGAAGTGTTCATAAATTATTTCATGTACTTATAAAATATTTAAAGAAAATAATTCTTTTCTAAATGGTACATTATTAGAGTTGTAACTTTTAGATTTTACTTAAAAGTTAGGGAAAAAATTACAGATGATCGTCGAAAATGTTTGAAGAAATGTCACTTGTCAGTGACATTGATTGAACTGCTCAATTCGGGATCGTTTTTCGATTGCTATGATTAATAATCATCTTAGATTTTAAATTTTTTTATAACTCTACATCATCGAGACGAGCGAAGTAAAATAGGTATAACAGATCTCTGTATCGGTATTTAAAAATAAATAATAATGTAAGAAATAAATTTAACCTTATTTTTACTCAATACAGTAATATTTAAAAAAAATATAATATAATATAAGACAATATGAGTCGTATATGGGCGCGCCGTTTTCGATAACGTTCTTATAGCCAGTTGAATAATAATAATAATAATAATAATAATAAAAAGAAAGTAAACGCATTATAGTTATAATTAATGTGATGTTGTAAAAAATGATTTATATTTGATTGATTACATTTAGCAATTTTTCGTATAACCAGCACAATATTTTGTTTTGTAAAAAATTAAAATATTATATTTTATACATTTAATATTGTTATTAAAATACCTAAATAGGTACCAACAGTAAATGAAATACCGACATACGACGTGACAGTCAAATTATTTTTTTATTGAAACAAATTGTATCGATCCGTTTTATCCACCGTACCTGCAGTATAAAATAGAATATTATTGTACTTAAATATAATATAATATAATATTATGTATGCATTTTTTTGTCCATTATAGAACCGCTGCCATGGTTGACGCAGTTTATCGCGGTAACATCGACGAATTATTGTCTGTGATTAACCACCTGAAGAAATACATAATCGCATTCATAATCGTTCTGCTAGTTCTGTTATCGGTGTTTCACTTCTCCAAATTTTCAGTGCATGTCGTGCCGCTGATCATCGTCACGTTAGTGCTGTTGCCGGCCGTCTACTACACGACCGTTCTCGTTCTGAAATTCAGCACCAACGTAATAGCTTCGAATCAAGCCGTGAGTATGATTAAACACGGGTTATACGTGTTATAACGTTGTATTGTGTGTCAGCTCTGGCCGACACCGTACACAGTAAACTGGCTAAACTGTACGTAATATTATGCAAAATATTTCAAGGGTATTCATCATATACAACACATATTTTAATATATTGCGCCCATACGATAGGTCGTTGCTTGATTTCGTTTATCGCGGACTGTACACTGTATAATGTGCAGCACATACGATTAGACAATATCGTACGTTCTGTAACGTAGCTTATACGTCTGGATTTAATATTCACTCCAGTGTCGTAGCCTATGGTAAGTCATTATGTTCCGGAGGCTAGGGGATGGATCATTGTATATTTTATTTTTTTAGGAAAGTAAGAATTCGTCAGATATTTTTATTTTCCATTAGCTGATTCCAAATTGAATCCTGTCTTTTCGAATACTCAAAATTATGTCATGGCATCTTACAATTTGTTTTGAACTAAGTAAATAGTTAAATAAAGTTCGTCTTTTAGAAAAATGAGTTAATCATTGTAAAAAATATTTGAAAAAAAAAATAACTACTGTGGCACAATTAAAATTTTTAAAACATTACATTTACGAATTGCTGATTAGTTTACGCGTATACTAATTATTGTCTCTCATTCCGTTAAAAAAATCATTATCAATCATAGTATATTATTATACTTAAGCATAGTATCGTCTAATAAATTAAAAATTTAATCTAGAAATACATCTATATATCGAAGACCTATTCTCCTTCCCATATTCTATTTGAACATTATAAATTATAATAATACTCTATATCTGAATCTGGTATCATGTATGGCTGTAACAGTTAAATTAGATTCATCATTGCCGGATCTTACATTTTTTTAACCCGGGGCCAAATATAAATTTGCGCTCCTTTATGACTAGTATCCAGGGCACATGCCCCGGATTGCCCCCCCCCCCCTAGATCTGGTGCTGAGATTCATACAATTTATTTTGATATAAAAAGTATTATACTACGTTATAATTAGACATTATCGTGTAAAAGTTTTTCATTATAACTAGTTCAAGTATTTATGAGCCTATATAGATTTTACAAAAGTTAATTTTTAGAAGAGATTTCTGATTCACTTCAATAATCTTAACCACCAAAAAAGGTTTATGCGTTCGATATTAAATTTACGTCAATGAATTAGCTGTTGCCTAAACATTTTTCCTCGTATTTTTTAAAACAGATTTCTACTATACATAATTATTCGAGTTATGGTAAAAAAAAAAAAATGATGATGTTTCTTTGTAAACTTCCAAAATTGTATCGCATACATTTGTATAATATAATATGCTCATAATTATAGTGTATTTTGTAAATAATTATTATAAGTGAAAGTTATGTAAGTATTTAGGTAAATTATTTTACATGAAACCGAGAGAGATGATAAAAAAGCTATCGATACTTTATTACTATGATTATATTAATTTTATTAGACAGGATAAAATTATGTATCGCAAATATAGAATACGATTAATAATTGAAGAACGAACATAATAAGTTTGAAATTAAATATAGCAAGTTAGGCTGTCAAAATGTAAGTGTGGTTAAGTTTGTGTGATAATAAAAATATTTGATTAATCTGAACTATCGGGAAATCAAAGTTATAATGTCGTTGTTGGATTTATCTAATTATCTAGTAATTATTTAAACTTATTTTATTATTAAGTTTTTTAATTTTCCACAAATATAGTTAAAACGACGTAACATTACGATATTTTTAATACAAATAGGCTTGTAAATGTATAAGTATGTAGTTTTATATTATCAACTTTCAAAAGTAAATGATATTGATTGATTTGAATGATTGTATATTGATTGTACCGACTAATTGCAAACATATATTGTCGTAGGCTTCATCAGACTTATATAAAATATTATGTTGAATTATGATTCGATTAATTTCGTAAAAGTGATGCATAAGTTGGTAATACTGTCCGTGTAAAATGTTTTGGCAAATCTTTGTAGGAATCGTTGTTTTCTTAGAAATCTATTGCTTGTAAATTTTGTTTTTTACCATTTTAGCGTCTTCAATCGTGTACAGTCGAAACTACTGTAGAATACAGAAAGTTTACACAAATCGTGTTTGCAAAAGCATATTTGATCAATACAGCTGTTATTTTAATATTCAATTCGTATTAATTTTTTTTTTTACTTTAAAAAATCAAAACTATTGTAGCTTGTGGCTAAATGAATTTTATGATCATATATTGTTGACACTAAATTTAAATTTCTATGGACATTTGGGATATTTAGGAGGTTTAATACATATAACTAATAGCTATATTATAAAAATACAGTCATAACAAAATTTCATTACGATTTATTCCTATAATATTATTATAAATATAATTTTTATTAAAATACACTTATAATATTTTACTAATAAAATAAATGCATATTGTATAATAATAATAATAATGAGACTGCATGAGACCGTTATTTATAATAACACAACATTATATTATTATAATATAATACTCTTTATTAATTGTTTTCAGCTTTTCTATTTAATTTTAATGACATACAAGCATAAGTATATTATATTGAATCTAATTAATTATGTAATACACCCACTCACGTATAATAAATAACAATAGTCTTTAGAAATGTGATAACACATCATATTGTCACCGCACACTCATAAATAAGCGTATGTAGGAATTTTTCACAGGTATGCAAAATATAGAACGAGCCTATCTGTGTACACGAGTATGTTAAAAATTGTTAAAAAAAGTCATAAAATTTTTGTTTAACATAAAACGTTTATACAAAAAAAACTTACTCTACTATTAAATGTGAGAAATTAGACATTTCTTGTTCGTTAAAGGTAATGACTACTGTCTAGTGTGACCAGAGTTGTATGGTAGGTATGTTTTTAAATTAAATTCGATAATAAATTCCTATCAAAATTTAAGAGAGGATTGTTTCAGTATATTATATAATTTTAAAGATAAATTAATTGCCAAAATACAAGATTATTATTTTTTTTTTTTTTTAATTTAAAATTATTTTAATACGTGCTTATGTTGAATTCCAATTTCAAATACATTTTAAATACTTATTATTGTAAAACATTGTTAAATATTGAAAACATAGGTAATATTGTATATTAATATTTTATACTTATAAAGTGAAATAATATAATTTGGGGGTAAAAATAATGCCTTGGTAATGTTTAGGCATTATTATTGTTCATACAATATTACGCGGGTGATTCTTTTATCGAACAACACTCATTATTTCAAAATCTATTAACTGGCTTGTAATTTTTTTACATGATTTTCAGTTGACATAAAAAATAATATATTTTTTTAATATTTTTTATTGTATTTTTTTAAAGTTTTTAATTTTTTAAAAAGCAATATGCCAAAATACATTTTTAATTTCATATTCTGAAGCAGAATATTTTTCGAAGAATTTCCATATGTAAAAATCAAAATTTTAATAAGTAGTTTATGATTTATTATAATTATTTAAAGTTTAGGTAAGCGGAGTAGTACATTGGCATTTTACAAAGTATCCTCCTACCTCTCCACTCCAGTATTTAATACCAAGTCAAGGAATCGTAATAACTTACTTTATGAAACATATGTATAAATTCGTATAATTGAAATCTAAGGACTAAAGGAGTGGGATAGCCCAGTGGGAAGCTCCCACCAAGAAGTTTTTCTATTTATATTGTAAGAATTGCGAAGTCAACTTAAAATAATTTATTAAAAATGTTAAGTGGGGATTTTTAATATACTGATAACTAAGTTTGATAAAGATATAATTAGAGATAAAGGAAAAAAGATTAAAGAAATTATCTACAGCATTGTTACTTGATTTTAACTCAAAAGCTTTTTTATTCTAATTTTATTATAGACTATAGAACTCGTTAAATTAGGTTAGTATGTTATTACCGCGTGTTTAAGTTGGTATGTGAAAATAATCTTTATAACAAATTAATTGAATAGCCTTTAAATTAGTTTTTTAATTAAAATGTTTTTCAAACAATTATTTCTTTTTATAGCTGTCACATACAATAATTATGTGCATAATTATTCATGAATGTGATTTTAATTTCTCGTCATAGTCTTTTCATTTATAGTGATTTTTGTTATTGAATTTTTAATAAAATAGATTAATATGACAAAACTTACCTACACTTTTGAAACTTTTATTATTTTTATTATTGATATTAACTATTAAATTCGCGTTCGTTTTTTTTTTCATATAAATTGTTCTAGCATACAGTAATCATTTATTACGTATTTATATAATACGTAGTCATTTAAAAAAAATATAACTTGTTTTTTAAATATTAAAAATATTTTAAATTTTGTAAAAACTTGATAAATTTAAAATCACCAAGAAAACCAACTCATAAATTTTTTTAACATTAATTTTTTATTACACAAAATATAAACAAATATTTTTATAATTAATGTAAGAGTTTTAGGTATTTAGTGGCTTTAGTATATATTTAATGAAGAGACCTTTCAATGAACGCATTTCAGCAATCCATAGATTTACTGAAATTCGTTTTGAGTAAAACCAAAAAACAATATTGCTTTTATCAAAAATTCGATTTGCGTGAAAATTCCAGTTTTCCCATATTTTTATTTTTTATTTTTCCCGATTATAAAAATAAGTACTGGGAATTTTCTACTTTTGATTTTCAAGAGTATCATATAGATTTAATTTGCTACCAGAAACCATCTCCATTTATTGTGTTTAGATTGTTTATAGACATAGAAAAAAAAACATATATAATTATAAATTAAATATATTTCCTTGCACTTCGAGTTTAAAAAGGAGTGGTTCCTAGCAGAGCCGGCGCGAGCTATTTTGCCGCCCTGAGCTAAATTATAAATGTCGCCCTATTAAAACTAAATAAATAAAAAAATTAAATAATCATATGATACAAATTATGCAATAATATTGGTTTATCTAAAAACATTTATTTTCGTCATAAACATAAAATTAAAGTATAAAATATTTTTTACATAACACATAGCTATAATTATACTAATAATATTAATACAATTATAAAATTGCGAAAGTTTTAGCTAAAATGCCGCCCATGGGTATTTAGAGAAAAATTGCCGCCCTGGGCTATCGCCCAGGCCGCCCATGCTTTCCGCCGGCCCTGGTTCCTTGTGGGGTAAATAGAGACATGAAACCAAATCGAAGAGATCAAGATCGACAACTTTACTGCTAAGAAGGGAATAAATAAAAGAAGTATCTGCATAAAATTCGGTGAGAGACAAGGGTTTAGGAATATCTAGAGTAGAATGATAGTATATAGTAGTCTTGAGAGGATTGAAATAACTAATAACAAAGGCAGTATATGATAGAAAACTGTCTTGGACCTGCTTTCTACGTAACTAGTTGATAACGAGCTTAACATGCGTGGTATACGGTGGTATATTCACATAATATTTCAAAATGGAGAAGATGATAATGAATTAAAGCAGCTAAACGAGAATACTCGTAGTTTAGTATTGGGCTTAATTTTGCTCAAGACTTTCACGTTTTTTAGTAGGGGTAAATTAAATGGCGATCCTTGACGCAATATACATGTTCAAATAAAGAGTCATTAAGAAATAGTATACTCGTGTAAGTAGAAAAGACGTGAGTGGCTACTGCAAATTTGCATTACTTGAGATTTGGTTGGTAATATAAATATATTTTTTGGCTGGGTACAACATTTTTTTTTTCTAACTGATTTTGCGTTACAGTATAGGTTACTTAGGTTGCCTTAAAAACTGATACATATTATGTAATTACGATAAAATAGCAATGTCTCTTATAATTTGTTATTAACTATGTGTTTAAATTTAATTGTAATGTTAAATTTTATTTATTAAAATTTTGTTTGCGTTATAATGATTAAATTAGAAACTAATAAAATAAATTAAATTGTTTAAAATTATTTGTAACTATAACTTTGAATTCTGAACGTGTAAAAACATATCTAGGTATATTATTATTATGTTATAATATGATAATATAAAGTAATCTGCGATATGATTAACTCAATAGTAAATACTATCGATCGAAAATCGAAATTAGGTAGCTACATATTGATTTAGTTTTATGGATATTATAATCTATAGTTAATTATTATTTAGATATTTTGAAATATAATCATTTAATTTGTACTTTGTAGCTTTTGAAATAATTGTTTTGAACTTATGTTGATATAATCTGATAATCTTATAATACTATATGAACAATTGCATATAAAAAAGGTAAAAAAATAATAAAACTAAGAAGTGCAACTATAAAAAAATAGCTATAAAGGCAAATTATAATGATCACAAAACTAGAAGATTTGACATGCATGATCTAAATAGATAAGTGTCACATTTTTAAAGGGAGAAGAGTACGGGTGATATACTTTGTGCGTTAAATTTCTTAGTACGTCTTTGCTATTATAGTGACTTAATCAATGATGAGATACTCTCGAAACTTGCAATACAACAAAAGCGAGTTCTTCGAATACTTGAATTATTTAATTAGGTACTTATATTAATTATATTATTATTTTTCAGGGAGAAGTTTCGACTATGAATTCTAACAACAACCAACAAGTTTTAAAAACTCCCGACCTCCCGTACCCAAATAGCCCGACCCCGCCGCCGACGTACGAGGAAGCGACGCGAAATGACCATTACTATCAACCACAATCATGGTTGCCTTCAACTAGCAGCGGGTATACCAGCAGTAACCAGTCGACTGTACCCGCTGTGTTCAGTGTCGAGTACCAGTACAATGATACCATGTCAAATGTTCACAGTGGAAGACCGGCTACAAGCAAGGCCATAACAACACTCAATCAGACTCCAGACAATTACACGTCGTCGCACAAGACAACGATCCAAAACATTCCCAGTGTGACCATAACTTTAGACAGCGATCAACACCCAACTGAAATTTAATAAAATAATAACAGCCGTGAGTCCAACGCTGAGTATCCAGATTTGAATTTATTCGAAATTAAGGGGTTTTTGGATATTTATGATAACTAAAATAAATTGAACAATTTAGGTAATTTGAATTGTTAAGATAATCTAAAAAATATGGACAATTGGATTTTCTCAGTTCTTATAATTTTTAATTATTCAATTATTTAATTGCATTACCATGATTATTTTGAATATTATTGCTAATATGATTATCTAGGTACCGTTTTTAATGTCTGTCAAATAGTTTTTTGTAAAATCGTTATTGAAATATTTGTGGTTCTGCATATTCGACAATTTATGAAATCCAAATTATTTCAAAGTATGAAATGTAATTTAATTATTATCATCATATTATAATTTATAATATTTTTTATTTAATTTAGTTTAAATTATTATTATGATTTATGTACAATAATTTTTATTGTAAATACTTAGGGTTGTTTAAATTGGAATTTGGATGTTTTGAAGTTTGCTCTCAATTTTCAAATAATGTTGATGATTTTTTTTTGAAAGTTATAAGTAAATTTAATATAATTAAAATGTCTGAAATTAAGAAATTATGTAAATTTTAATTTTTTAATTATATTCAAATTTCAAATGATAAATCTATTGCAGCGATGAGTATGGTTTGTCTAATATATGTATGCAGTTATAAAAAAATATTAATAAACTCATTTTTATCTCTATAGTTTATTTATACGCTTATTATTTGATCATTGTAAAGTATTTATTTCATAATATTTTTTTTTAAATAACGTGATTAGTATATTTAGTAAGTTACTTAAAGTATTATTGAACTAATATTTAAAGAAGTGGAAATAATTTGGTTGAGAAATTTATTTAATTTCGGGATAGTTAATTAGTTCAGCGTTGATATAACGCGTTAGTAAATATAATTTTTGGAATGTTTAAAATACCGTATTTTAATGTTTTAATTTATAGTCTATATTAATCTTAATTATTATTTGATTGAGATGCAAATGAAGTATTTACTGTTATTTCTATTTGGGTGGTCATCTCTTTCAATACAATTTTGAGTTTTTCAGTATTTTTTATGAATTCCAATAAAAAAACGACCGCATAGTATTTATGCTATAAAATGTAGTATGAAGAACTCTTATAAGCTTTTCTATCTATTAAAAAATTAAAAAGTTTATCGGAAATTAACATTAATTTTTTTATGGTTGTTTGAAGTTCAAACTTTTATGACATTGAATATTCAACAATTAATAACTATTTCTTCTTAGACGATTTTGGCTTTTTGTTATAATTCAATAAAGATTAACCATAGATACTAGAAACTGTTACAACATGTTTATATGATTGCATTTTCTATATAAGTTACAATTTAAAACAATTTTTAAAATATTTTAACTCTTAATTATTTATAGGCAATTGAAATTTTTGATTTTTTTTAGTCTTATTTTTATACATAATAATAAAAATGGCTATTTTGGTAAAAATATTTTAAAATTTGATACAAGATCATTCATACGTTTTTCTCAAACATTTGTTAAAAAATTTTTGTCCCCAAAGATAGTTTAAAAATTTAAGATAACATATATTTTAAGGTTGGTACAGGTAGGTTGTTTTTACAATTGTTATGGTTGTTATGATTGATAGCAAACACGTGTGTGTATGTCAAGGTTTTTAACCACTACGAGTCCGGATGGTCACCCATCCGGGAATTAGTAGCTGTGGCCGTTACTTACCCCTAGTCGCAGCCAACGTGCCACACCAAGCCACTCATAATATTTTGTTTCTAAATATTAAACAAGAATCTCACGATTCTTAAGTTCAATATTTTTTTTATTTTTTAAATTTTTATCATGAATACTTTATATTTTATATTGCGTATTAATAATGTTTGCAACTAGAGCAGATTGTTTTATTTATTCAGTGGGTGTAAGAATTACTGAGTGAAATATGTTGTTTATTTATTTTATATTTGTTGTTTTTACATTAAACTCATAGCATGTCACATCACAAATAATTTTAACTAGAATTTTCTTAAAATTTTGAGAAAAATTAGTTCATATAAAAATAAATGTATCAAACAAATCAAAACCATCTCTAACATAAATATTCATTTTTTTTAGTCCATGAAAAATCATTCAGCTAATATGCTGGTCAATTATAACTGAAACAAATGTGTCTGTTTTAATTTTAAAAAGTCAAAAAAAAAAAAATAGAAAATATTAAAATTTTTATGCCAAGAAGTTTTTATAAGTTTATTTAAAGTGAAATTAATAGCTATAAACTCTAAATGTTTGTGAAATTAAATATTAATTAAACACACAAAATTTATTATTAAATAAGGGTATTGAGAAGTTAATTCTACTTATTTATTAAGTTCAACATCGACTTTATATAAACGGAATTCGATATTTTCAATGAAAACTGTACATCTATAAATTTGTATTTTGTCGTTATTTAAAAAAGTATTATATCATAGAAACATAAGATGCTTTGTAAGTTTTTTTTGTGTTATTATGTTGTAATTTAAAAATCAATATTTATCGAGACTTGAAATACATCCATTTCAGTAACCTACTCAAGGATTAAGACGTATACTTGACATTGTATGTACAGCAGAGCTGTTACTTGATTTTATTTTTATGTAGGTAGGTACATATTATAATATACTAAAATAATTAATAAGTTGTAGCAAAAATATAATAATTTATTCAATCCACCAATAAATTCTTTAAAAAAAAAATACTTATGAAAACGTTTTGAATCAACTGAAAAATAATAAATCGTGGATCATATTGCTTAATGGTTTATTGAAAATATATAAGATATAGGTATTTTTGAAACATTATCACAAAACCTAGGAAACCAAGATTAATAAAAAGATTTTGAGAGGGTTATATTATAAATCCATACTTTAAATGATAAGACATTAATTCAAATATATTTAAATCAGTTATCAAACATGCAGAAAAGAAGGCAAACCATTACAATTTTAAAAAATGTTTAATATATTGTAATATTTATTTGTTTCCACACCAATATTGTTATATTTATTAATAATTAAGAAGAATTATATATTAATATATATCAGTAATTAATATTTCATAGCATATCTGTGTTGAACCATTTGATCTTGAATATTTTTAAAAATATTAAATAATAATATTCATTTATATGGTTTTTCTTTCGGTTGTATTATTATTATTATTATTATTTTTTTTAAAAACAACTGTGTGATAGTTGTCATTTTGATTGTTCATAAAAGGTATTATGTTTAGCATTTGTGTGTATTTGAACAATACCAGAACTTTGAAATATTATAATATTAAAATATTCGTCTGGCATTTATTTTATTCCTTTAAGAATTGAACATAAATGTAAAAATTAATTTGCATGTTAAGTAAAGTATATTTATTTTTTATAATAACATGATATGCACTATTATACAGGCTGATGTTTTAATTAAAATATATTACTCTTCATGTAATATTATCAATCATGATTTAAATCCAGGGTGGTCAACCTATATGATCTTGCGGGCCACTTTAAAAATACATTACAATTCCATAGGCCAGATATTTTTTTTGTTTTTTATTAAAATTGGTTAGGTAATTGTATTGACATTTCAGCGAGCCACATAGAAAATTATATTAGTGTTAATACAAAAAAATATAAAATTTACTGACATAGATAATATAAAATAGTTTTAATTAATTAATTTCACTATTTAATGAAATATTTGTAAATGTTTGATAAATTTCACGGGCTATAAAACTTTCCAAGGTGGGCCGTGAGTTGGCCATCTCTGATTTAGATAGTGATTTTGTGAATTATAATAATATATATACATTTTAAATGGCTTAAAATAATAATTATTGATTTCTAGTGTGAAAAATGTCATGGAAAAATAATATGTCATAGGAATTTGTATAACCAACAGGTTTCTAATTCATACAATTTTCCTTATTTAATAGCACATTAACACTAGATTAATAATTAATTATTGTGGTTATCGATTATTATATTTTGTTTTTAAAATAAATAATATTATTTTGAATATTATAATTTTTGTATCAATTCAAATTCAAGTTATTTTATTTCCAGTTTTTAGTATTATTAATACATTTTATCTCTATAACTAATAAATTATGAAACAGATACTAGTTTATGTTATTGCATCATATTATATTGATGTTCACATTAAATTTATTTTTTAAAAAATTAACTTATGCTTCTAAATAGAAATAAAAACCAAATATACTTAAAGACTTAAGTCTATGAGTGGTTTATATATATTTTAAGGTTATATTTTAGTTGAACCTTTGCTAAATCGATAAGATCATAATACATTCCTGATATAATTAATATATTTTTTAATTCACGTTATCCGTTCATAATACTGCATATTTTATTAATTTCATTCGTCTTTAAAATTGATTTCTTCATTTAAAATATCAAGATTATTATTATATTTTATTTTTCGTTTTCATGATAAGTGGGTTATAAATTATAATATTATTTCCATACAGTAAAATAGGATTAAAAAAAATATTAAATTATACTTCAATTTTGAATGTTAGAGATAGGAATAGGAACATGAATTGTTTTAATATAGGTAATAATAATAATAATAATATGATAAATATTGCATGATAATGGTTATTATATTTTTATTGTTGAGTTAGTTGTTATTTTTATAATTAAATTACATGACATGAATATTGTTGTGTCGAATTAACTTATATATTACACACTACTTGATTTTTGACGATGTTCAACTACTTCAATATCTGTAAACATATTGCATGAAACATAAAATTAAATTTTTTAATACATGGTGTATCATTTAAATATATTACTTTATTAAACCTAAATATTATTTTGTAAATATTAATTTTGGTGTTGTGATATTTAATTTAGTTTTGACTTTGAGTAAAATAGTTGAAAAAATTGTAATTGTAAATAAAATAGTTATGAGGCATTTTAATTTTAATATGATTTATAGAAGAATTTAGAGCACAATGTATATTATGATGCGTAATTTAATGGTTTAATTATTTATTATATTGAATTTGCGAATTCTATAGTAATAACGAATAAAAGTTATAATGAAATGCGTAATAATTGTGTTTTTTAATTTTTTCATTAGTGATTTT